GTATAATACATTAGCTTCTGATGCAGGATTGTCAGGTTGAGATTTTTTATGACTTTGTCACCACTTATTTTAGGTCGGCCAGGTGAATGACTGGTTAAAACAGTGACGAATTGCTTTATTATTGGGTGAATTTTGCCCTCAATACATAACTCTAAACCCACGCTGCAGTAACAATCGATTTAAACTCTACGAACCACAGAACTCACAGTGCCTACTGATGCGCCATAAACATCATAACTCTAACAACTGGCGTGGGTCATAACAGCAGCTTGCCACCGTATATCTGTTTTGCGTATGCCAAGGTCAGTATTTCCTCCCTTGCTGCACGGAAAACAAAACTTACATATTTCAACTCCAATTTAACGTCTAAATCAATCGTTTAGTTGTCTTGACTATGACTAGTCCCCAAGCGATGAGTGTTTAAAATCCCGGCATTATTTTTTTATTTTGGATACTCCGTATATAAATAACTTCTTGATCAGCATTGTACTTGTTATTAAATTTACGGAAAGTAAATAAAGATACGTCTTATAACACTTAAAACATATATTTACGCTTATACCGTTACTCACAAGACGGTAAATATACAAAAGATGGTAAGTGGTGATCGATTTTGATTGGACACTCCAATCATCATCAGACCCAATAGGCGAATGACAAGAATCTTGAATGGCGTCCCTACTTATACCCTATTGGCTACCGGAAACACGGGCCAATACATTTTTATAAGTACAACTGGAATCAAAATTTACTTGTTCATTAATCAACTTATTTCTATTTTTACATTTTTCCTTATAAATATACAATTCTTTCCAAGCATTCATCACATATCCCTTCTTACAATTCTTCAAAATACATAGATTATCCTCCATTTTTCCTATCGAGTGTCCATTTTGTAACAGGTGTTGTGCGACATTTGATCTTTCCGGTTTGTTGTTTCTCCATGCAGATATGTGGTTTTTGAAGCGGTTAACGAAGTTCACAGTCCTATGTAGAAGCTATCACAATCGTTACAATTGATTTGATTGATGCCCGATGCGTCGAATCTGTTACAATCTTCTATTTTTGGATGCAGTATTTTACTCATGGTGTTCTGAGTCCTGTAGGCTATCGAAACTCTGTATTTCTTGAATCTGTTTGCAGTCCTTTGTGTTGTAGTCCCCGTGTAGCTATATGTGACATATCTGGTGTTTTCCTCTTTTATCTCTTCTAATGTTGTTCTGCTGTGTAGTGTATTCTGTCTATTGAGTTTTCTTTTCTTCTTTCTTGCGATGTCCTCTATTGTCTTGGTTCGAAATCCATTAACTTGAGCGATCTTCTTAATGGTGTCCAGTTCTTTCTTCCTATTGGCTCTTCTTTCTTAAGTTTCTTTCCTAAGTGGGATCTTATAGGCTCGGTACTGCATGGATCTAAAGGCTGCGGTCTTGTGGATTGTCGGATGGATAGACTTGCTGTTTATTGTAGTGTCCGTTTGCGTAGGTTTTCTGTAGATGTCAAACTCGATCTTGCTGTCTTTTCTCTCTAATGTCAGGTCCAGGAAGTTGATCTTTTAGTTTTCTTCAAACTCGTTGGTAAAGGTGAGGTTCGGATGGTGGCTGTTAAGTGTCTGCATCATCGTTTCGTGCTCTTGTTCCTGGGCTTGTCTGAAAATAACAAGAATGTCGTCTACATATCCAACATACAGTTTTACATTATGACTCTTTCTTAAATTCGTTAAAATTTTTTTTTTCCTGATGCTGTAAAAATATTTCTGACAAAATTGCCAAAAGTGGACTTCCCATAGCCAAACCATCTGATTAACCAAACCGAACCGAACCATCTGATTAACCATCTGATTGTTTGTTAAATCTAAAATAATTTTGTTTCAAAATAGTCACAAGCAATTTTACAATCTGATTGACATATTCATTGTCTAAACTATTCTGTAAAAGCCTACATTTAACAAGACCTACAGTTTCCGATACAGGTATGTTTGTGTACAGATTTGAGATATCAAATGAAACTAGCCTACTATTTGAATCTATATTTATATCCTTTACACGTTCAACAAATTCATAATTATTCTTTACATTGTATATATATTCTAATTCTAAATCATTGCTGAGCTTACTTAATAACAATTTTGAAACATTGTAGGTAGGAGCACATTTAAAGTTAACTAAGGGATGGGTACATTCTTCTTGTGTATTTTCGGGATCCCTTTCATCACGGGCGCATTGGAATTTAGGATGTTCATCTTCTGTCGACATTCTTCGGTAATCACTCTGGTGCATCTCTTCACGACGTCGGACAGGTCTTTTTGGTACTTCTGCGTTGAATCCTTTTTCAGCTCTTTGAAGTTATTTTCTTTGATGAAATCTTCAGTCTTCTTTATATATTTTTCCTTTTCAAGCACTACGATGGCGTTGCTTTTGTCCCCTTTCACGACGATTGAGCTATTCTCTTCCAGTTTCTTCTTTATTTCGTTGCAGGTCTTCAGTTCTTCCTTTCTGCTGGGATCTAGGGGTCCTCGGCTGGTGAAAGCGTTGGCTGTCACTTCCTTCCGAGCGGCATAATGGTCTATGTCTCTCAGTGATTTTACATTTGCTTCAACTTCAGTAGCTAGTAGTTCGTTTTCGTCCATCTTCTTCATTGGGAAATTGTACTTCATTCCGTAGTTCAGTATTTTCGTTTCTTCTTCACTGAATTGAATATCTGTAAGGTTGATGACTCTCTTCTGGAATTTGTGTTCTGTATTGGTCCTATCCAAGTCTTCATTAGGTGTATTTTTCTCTACGAGCTTGTCTAATTTTTTGTTTATCCGTGAATATTTCTGGTCCATGGCGTCTTCAACCTCTTCACTGACGACTTCATGTAGTAGATTCCATGCAATTAGTCCGTATAATCTCAAAAATTGTAACCGTCTTGTGAGTAACAGTATAAGCGTAAATATATGTTTTAAGTGTTATAAGACGTATCTTTATTTACTTTCCGTACTCCGTATATCCAACATAAATCATGCAAAATCTTGCCAACAAAGAATATATGTAGGCTAGATAGCCTCTGTTAGTGTGGCTGTTGTATCTTCTGCCTAATAGGGGTGTCCCATCTTGTAACTCTGGAAGAGAGTAGAGCACGCTCTTCACTAAGTACTCCTTCAGCCGTACCTTAAAAGCCTCTGGGTTCAGATCTTTCACCTACTAAGGCGACATCGGGGTATGTCCAAATCACCAGCTCTATGGGTACCGTGGTCATGTTGGTTCCCTCTTTTCTCAAAGTCTTCTCAGCAAGCACAGTCTCAATTTCAGCAAAAATGCTATATACGTACTGACTGAAAACCGTGAGGATCTTCAAGTCTATTAATAAAGGTCCAAATGGCCAGAATTGGACACAATCCTAACTGCCCCCAAAGATACATGTAAAAAGAAAGAACTACTTGTAATCTATTTTCTTACCGCTTTTCTAGACCTGTGCACCATGTGTTTCCATTGTGTTAGTTCCATGTGTTTGGGCTTCGGCCTGCTTGCTCTGTGCGACCAGCATTCTGTGTGGCATATCCTCGACTTTGGAAGTAGCCTTTCCTGGGGGTGAAATCAGGGCAAGTACCCGTAAGCTCACGGGGACACTCTAGGGGAGCGTAACTTTCCGCAGTGTGAGGGCAACGGCTGGGCGCACTCCATCAGCCAATCCCTGTCTCTGAGACCGGAAGGTATGGTTATCTAGAGTGTGGGGAGTTCTCCCTGGAACTTCAATTGAGCAAAGGGTGTCGCCACCTTTGGTGGATAGGTTCATCCGGGTGGGACCCACTTCTATTCCTGCCTCCTTTTGGGAAACCCTGATGGCCTGGCAGTGATGTTGGGCTGGACGGGCAAACGAAGTAGATCGGGTGCTGGGTTCAAGCCCGCTAGGGGTGTTCAGGGATCTATCGCCTTGGTCACCTCTGGTTTCCCAGCAACTGGGTAAGGCCTTGATCGGGTAGTGGTGTAAATAGGTGGTTGGGGTTCCCCCCATCAGCTTGCTGGTGGTCCCCTTCTTCCTGGCTTTGATGGCGGGCTCTGCCTGTCAGGGATTGGATAGGTCCCGAGTGTTGCTTGCACTAAATGCGTCAGGGCATTCCATTATGGTCCTTCTGGGTTTTGTACCTGGGGGAACCCAGGTGGAGTGACGCTTAAACAAGTAGCCGGTATCCCTGGTTAGGATTGAGGGAAAACCCTCTCTCCGAAGGGTTTGCTTCGGCAGCCGGTGAGCCTGATGACCTTAAGTCATCCTCCCATGATGTACCAAAGGTTGGTGCATTAGCTTCGGCCTACATCATGGGGCCCGGGTATGTTTAATTATAGGTACCTGGTTTGCGGTCAGAGAGCTTCATGCTCTCATGACAAAACAAAATGGAAAAAGACCTGTGCACCAGAGTCCCCGAGAGGGAGTCACTAGAGAACTAATTGAGACCAGACTCTGTTTGGATTGGCCGGAAAGGCAGTTAGTACATTTGCTTAACAAATTTAAAACAAAGTATTTTTATGACTGTAAATGGGTATTACTCCTGTGATATCGTGATTTATTTTCTGCAATCATGAAAACACTGTGATAATTTCCTACAATGACGGCAACATCAGCGACACTGTGATAATCATCCATAATCGTGAAAACATCCATGATCATCTCCTGCGATAGTGCTATCTAATGGGTTTACGTTCGGCTAATGGTGATTATTTCGTATTTCCCAGTTCCATACAAACTTGATAAAATATTCCCTTTTTTCTTGGGTCCCGGTCGGCTGAACACCCTGGTTAGTGTTTGGAACACATAGTCTTGTCATTAATTTATATAAAGTAACCTGTTCTCCCCCAGTTGGGGGGACACAGGTAAAACAGACAGTTATTATATTTTAAAGTGACAAATTTAGGGGTTTTGTTTTGGGGTGATTCTTTCATAAGTTATAGGTGTTTGAGTTTTTCTCTTAATGGAGAGTTTTAATTCCTTCATAATTATAATCTTTAAAATTGGTTTGCCTGTTACAGGAGGAAGAGTTGGAAAGATTAGCAGCCCAAATGAATGCCCAGTTTCAAGAGATAGATAAGTGTAATCTTGTTGTTGAATGATTCACATCACCAGGATATGCAAGATTTGCTTCCATAAGTTAGGTCTTATGATTTCTCCCAAAATATAATTAGAACTTAAAAACAGCCTTACATTAAGGTTTTTCATACAATTATCAATTATTTAATATTTTTGGTATGTACATATATAATTTCATACAAGTAATCTATTGTAGACTGGACTTTAAACTATCGTGATGTTAATTTAAGTGTTAATTTCAATGGATATAGTTCTCAATTGGTAAATATTTTCATCAAATTTGTCTTATACAATATATTATACCTATATATTTAATTATACAGTATTAAACATAGTTAAAAACACTACAAACACTTAGAATTGTGTGCTTGTTCTGGTTATTGTACCAGCATATTTTTTAAATCAGTTTTTGTTTAAATAAGTTAAAAATGTACTGTGCCAATTTTGTATTGATTGATTTTTTTGTAATCAAATCATGACCATGTTCTACTTGTCTTTATAAACGTCAACAACATTCTTTGTCATTTTGTCACTTTTAACTCTGTAGACTAGGATAGTAAAGATGGTGAAGTGGTTGTGGTACAGTTCAAGGCCCGAAGAAAAACAGGCCATGCTGCAAGATCCATGACGTCACACTTGTGGATATATTTACTGCCATATCCTATATGTTTTTGGTAAATCGGCTGGCTGTTTAAGTTTGGCAACTTTAGTACATCTATCCATCACTGTGACGTAGTGTTGCGCTGCAGCAAGGCCTGTTTTTCTAGTGGGGCCTTGTACAGTAACAGACAAGCTAACCATTTAACACACACCAGCTGGTCCTAACCCTTTTTGTAAAGCACTGCCACCCTCCAAATGTCCCAGCCAGCTTAGGGGGATGGGCAGGGTTCTTTTCCCCAAATGAGGTTGAGTTACTATTTTCCTTAAAGTTGGTTGCAAGTGAATATGTTATGGGCGCCACTTCGTGTAGGGAATATTCAATCAGACGATCACAAAGAATCAACTCCGTCCCAAATTGCAAAAAACCAACACACCTCACTTGGTATGGCCAACTTTGTAATCTTACTTTACCAAACATGCGTTGATTGCACATCTATTGTGTACCAGCTAGTCTAAATGATAATTAATAAAATTCTGTTAAAATCTAAAGTTATCCACAGGAATATTAAGTTTAGCAAAATTCTCAAAGTAACAAAATTATTTATTGGCTTCAAAGTGTAGACTTTATATTACAAAGAAAAAAAACAATATTAATTCCCTCAAAATTAAATTGAATCCTCTAAATAAAATTTACAAGAATATCTAGCCTCAATCAGTTTTACCAAGGTCTCAGTAGTAGCCTAAGCTTATCAAACATTGGATAAACTATTATCAGGAATAATTACTAAAATCAAATAAATTCTCCAAAATGTCTACATTAAATATCTAAATACAATATTTAAATCAGTTTCATAAAGAACAAAAGAAATTATTCCATTGTAGGAAGCAATAAGACCCACTTTATCGCTGAAAACAATAAAATGTGACAAAGTCCATTCCTGGTTGAAGAGTAGGTCAAGTAGCCGGAATTCTAATCACACTGAGTCAAAATTAAAGTGTCACTCACCACAGTAGTCTTGACAAATAGGATATACCATCTCAACCGCACGATATCCAGCCGCGGATGGACCGATCAGCGGTAGGTGTATCCCACAAGAGCAATGGGTTTGCAAGGTAGAGGTCCAGATGAGTAGCCGGTGACTTTGGCCTCAAGATGTTGGTAGAGCCTCGTAAAGACCCTGTAACATCCTTAATTTACAGTATATTGCATAAAATCAAATAAAATATAACATCAGACAATATCAATTGGGCCAAAATATATAATAGTCAAAACCAAAACAAATAAATAACATTTCATAAATAGCTGTCGTCATTGGGTGAGGTTCATTTGTCCGAGTTTTCAACTGTCCGAGTTTGTTAAAAATTACAAAATATTGAAAAATCATCTGTCCGAGTTTTCAACTGTCCGAGTTTTCAACTGTCCGAGTTTTGATAAATAACTAATAATAATTAGATAAATCAACTGTCCGAGTTTTCATTTGTCCGAGTTTATTAAATTTAAATTATTTTAAAAAATATCGAAATATCAAGTGTCCGAGTTTTCAACTGTCCGAGTATGGTTTAAATAATAATAATATTTCGTTAAATCAACTATCCGAGTTTTCATTTGTCCGAGTTTTTAAAGTTTTAAAACAAATATCAAAATATCATTTGTCCGAGTTTTCAACTGTCCGAGTAGGGGCAACATCAAAATGTGACACTGCGCGCCGAGACTAGCGTGTCTAAAGCGCCTGTTCAGAAGTCGATGTGAACCCCTTCTGTGAAGGAGACAGGCATTGTGCGGGCCGCGAGAGGCCCTCTCGTCGACTTAAGAAAAATTATATTATTTTTATTATAAGACTAATTTTACAATTTTTAATTAAAAAATTAAACTGTCATCACCTAACACAACCAACCAAACTTACTGATAATATAATATAACTGGCGGGGGTATTTTATATTATCAGCAAGTTTGGTTGGTTGTGTTAGGTGATGAAAGTTTAATTTTATAATTAATAATTGTAAAATTAGTCTTATATAAAAATAGAATAATTTTTCTTAATTCGACGTGAGGTCTCGCACAATGCCTGGCTCCTTCACAGAAGGGGTTCACATTGACTTCTGAACAGGCGCTTTAGACACGCTAGTCTCGGCGCGCAGTGTCACATTTTGATGTTGCCCCTACTCGGACAGTTGAAAACTCGGACAAATGATATTTTGATATTTGTTTTAAAACTTTAAAAACTCGGACAAATGAAAACTCGGATAGTTGATTTAACGAAATATTATTATTATTTAAACCATACTCGGACAGTTGAAAACTCGGACACTTGATATTTCGATATTTTTTAAAATAATTTAAATTTAATAAACTCGGACAAATGAAAACTCGGACAGTTGATTTATCTAATTATTATTAGTTATTTATCAAAACTCGGACAGTTGAAAACTCGGACAAATAATTTTTTTAATATTTTGTAATTTTTAACAAACTTGGACAGTTGAAAACTCGGACAAATGATGTGATCCCTCGTCATTTAGTGTAAATTAATCCGTCTCCAAATAGGTTAAGCTATCAAAGTTTACAGATAAATTAATCAGTCGCTGTACAATAGCAAGATATTCATTTGGTAAAGGCTGCTGTGGTTTTACCTTAACCACTTTCATGTGACAAAACATTGTCCTAGCTAGAATAGTATTTCACAGTTTCCCTACTAATAATTAAATATTTAGTCACTTTATAATTTACATTTTTAATTTAGTAAAAACATTAATCAAAAGTAATGGCTAAATACAGTAATTAATAGTTTGCCATACCTCTTTGCGCTAAAATTGTGCTAAATCCTCTTGAGAGTAGAAGGTCAATATTAATACTCTGATTCTCGAAGGTAATCCCAACTTAACAGGTTAACTCATCAGTGTCTGGTGGCAGTCTGGACTGTAGTCATCTGTCCAGCGCTGTCTGGACTCTTATCAGTGCTGATAACGAGGGTTCAACTGGCCAACAGTAGCTCCAGCATATTTTAAAGTTATAATTTTCCTCATAGCTTTGAAGTACCAGTGACTATCAGGTGTCGACATCTCAGCATTGTTGAACAATGATTTTATGATCTTGGGGTGATCAGTCCCAGGTCTGACTTAATATATGCCACTTAACTGTCACAAACAACCCCCAACCTGAAGAAAATTTCCTCAAATTTTCTTAAGCTTCATATCGCTTCAGATCTGATACGTGCCAGTTGCCCAGTACTCTTCCACCTTCTTCTTTCAGCTGGTATATTAGTGGAGATGGCTTCCTTGAAACTATGTAAGGGACAGTGTACTTGGGAGCCAGTTTTGCACTGAAGAATTTAGCTGCATCTGACAAAGGGTAGTTTCGTTTAAGAACCTTCTCTCCTTCATTGAAAGCTTCATGTCTTCTTCGAAGATTGTAGTGTTCTTCTGGTAGGCTGCTTGTAACCGTTCTTCCACTTCCACATATGTCTTCTGCAGATCCTTAATCTTCTGTCCATACAAATCTGCCTCTTCAACTCCGTCAGGTCAGGTGTTCCTTCCTCTTCAGCTACTTCTGTTCTTACGTCCAACTCTCGCCCAAAGTTTATATAGGCAGGGGAGTACCCAGTAACTTCATGACGTGCAGTTCTAAGGGCAAAGCCTATTTTTGGCAACTGTTGATCCCACATGCGGTGGTTATCACCCACATAGGCTCTGAGCATGTTTCCAATTATCTGATTCACCCTCTCGGTGGGATTGGCTTGAGGATGCCTACTGGCATTGTACAGTAGTGTTATCTTGTATTCTGCTGCTAAAGTCTTCAATGCCTTCCCTGAAAATTCTGGACCATTGTCACAAATAAGGTATGCAGGTATCCCAAAAACCAAAAACACACATTGTTCCAGATGTTTTGAAACCAAGGATGATGTTGCTGCTCGCAGAGGAAAAAGCAGAGGAAATTTAATAACAGTATCCGTCACCACCAAAATGTATTTAAATCCTGCAGTGGAACGGGGGAATGGTCCTATCAGATCTGCAGCTATCATATCCCATGGCCTCGATACTCCTCGTCGAGATCCCATCAATCCAGCTGGTCGTTGATTGTCACTCTTGGTGGTTTGGCATACATAGCAGCGAGAAACATATTTGGCAATGTCCTGACGCATCTTTGGCCAATAGGATTGGTTTTGGATTTTGCAGAAGGTCTTATAGACTCCTAAATGACCCGCTGTTGGTTCATCATGGAATTGTTGCATGATCTTGACTCTTCCATCTTTAGGGACAACTCTCTTCCAATCCACGGATTCCTCTTCGGTTGCTCTACTACGAGGTATGTGCTTCCATAAGGTATTATCTTGAACTCTCCATGCTTGATATTTAGAGCCGTTCTCCTCCACTAACTGCAGCATCCGCTTGTACCAACCACCAGTAGCTTCCTGAATTTCCGAGATAATTGGGTTTTCTTCAAGTTGTGTTTCTACGGAGCGAGACAACATATCGGGTACAACATGTTCTTTACCCTTTCGATGCACAAGTGTATAGCTATAAGGTTGAAGCCTCACCCTTGTGTTGTATATGGATCCACAAGAGACTGTAGTGGTCTGTAACAATCTTAAAATGACCTACCTCAACATAGGGTCCTAACTTTTCCACTGCCCAGATCACGGGCAGGCATTCTCGTTCCGTTGCAGAAAACTTGTGTTCTGTTCAATCAACCTCGTTGTCCTAGAGGCATAAGCTATCACTTGCTCTCCATTTTCACCTTCCTGGCTCAGTACTGCTCCAACGCCTACACCTGAGGCATCACACGATATCACGAAGGGCTTGTCAAAGTCAGGACAGGTCAATATGGGTGCCATGACCAGGCAGCTCCGAATATCTTCAAAGGCCTCTTGAGCCTCTTTGGTCCAAACAAATTTCTTACTTTT